CAGAAATGTAAATTCTAAGACTATTTTTAGATTGGAAGCATGCCATTAGAAAAACAAAAACAAACAAACAATAAAAGGAGTAGAGATTTAAAACAGCTAAATGAAGGACATTTTCTCTCTTCGCTTCCCAGAAATCATTCTAAAACAACAATGAATGTGAGAAACAGAAACAAATCTCCATTTCTGTCAGCAGTCCTTGCCCTAAACATCCGAGAAAGGCTGTGCCCAGCCTTCTGCCCTTCCCTGTTCTCCATGCTCTCCAGGGAATCTCACTTCTCAGGCCTCCTGGATGTGGGTAGGTTTGGCCAAGGAGACACCAGCCAAATTTGGAAGGTAGAAGAAAGAGGGAAGCCTAAGCCCTTCTCCCTCTCTCTAACTACCTCTGTGGTAATTTCAGTGAAGAATAGTTTCCCAAGATAGATCCAGGTTTTACCAGGCATCTCCTATCTCTGTGTTTCCTGTTCCAGCCACCGTTCTTCCTCGGGTTCCTCCATCTCTCAATGTAGTGACAGCTTCAAGCTGCTGTTAATCTCAAATTACTTCACTGTCTCCTGTTCATTTTCCTATCGTCTGTGTAACTATTTCCCTACGTCAAACTTCCCCTGTTGGAAATATCTGGTGTCGTTTCTGTTTCCCTGGCCAGGTCCTTGCTGATAGAGATGCCAAACACGGGTAAACTAAAGATCAGCTCAGGAAGACGCCTTGACAGGACACCCGCATTGCTGGGGTCCAAGGGCAACGTTGGCTTGTTGTGTTGGTCAAGTCTCCTACTCCCTTACTTACCTTCTGTCTAGTTGTTCTATTTATTATTTAAAGTGGAGCATTGAAGTCTCAGACTATTATTGTAGAACTGTCTATCTTTAATTCTGTCAATTGTTGCTTTGTATAATGTGTCTGTTGTTCAATGAGTGATTGTTTATAATTCTTCTATCTTCTTGCTGTATTGAACCTTGTATTAACATGTAATGTCCTTCATCTCTTGTACCTTTATTTGATTTGCAGTCTGTTTTATCTTTTATGAGCTTTTATGTTTAATGAGCAGCGCCACCACTTTGCCCACTTGACTTCCAAGTTCCAAACAGAGATGTGCGCCTTGCATCATTGGTTCAAGTATACCCTTTAGACAGGTTAGCACAGATGGACACAGTAACTTGCACATTGAACTATTCTTCTCCCTCTGATTCAAGGGAAGTACCCGAAAAACTAGTTTGCCACTCCTGTAAGAACAAGACTGCTAGTACACCAGGTAGGAGTTTTGTCTTGGGCAAGTAAAATGACACAGATCTTTCTACCATTTTTTTTTAATTATTTTTTTTATTTTGGTATATTATGGGGGTACAGATTTTAAGGTTTCAATAAATGCCCATTCCCCCCCTCCCCCCAAAAGTCTGAGTCTCCATCATGACCATCCCCCAGATGGTGCACATCTCACTCACTATGTATGTATATACCCGCCCCCCTCCCCCCTCCCACCTGCCCAATACCCTATTACTGTAGCACCTATGTGTCCACTTAGGTGCTACTCAGTTAATACCAGTTTGCTGGAGAATATATCTGGTGCTTGTTTTTCCATTCTTGGGATACTTCACTTAGTAGTATGGGTTCCAGCTCTAACCAGGAAAATATAAGGTGTGCTATATCACCATTGTTTCTTAGAGCTGAATAGTACTCCATGGTGTACATATACCACATTTTATTAGTCCATTCTTTGATTGATGGGCACTTGGGCTGTTTCCACAGCCTTGCAATTATGAATTGTGCTGCTATAAACATTCGAGTGCAGGTGTCTTTTTTGTAGAGTGTCACTGGATCATTTGGGTAGATGCCCAGCAATGGGATTGCTGGATCAAATGGTAGATTCACTTGTATCGCTTTAAGGTATCTCCATATTGCTTTCCACAGAGGTTGAACTAGTTTGCAGTCCCACCAGCAGTGTAGGAGTGTTCCTCTCTCTCCGCAACCACGCCAGCATTTATTGTTTGGAGATTTTTTGATAAAGGCCATTCTCACTGGGGTTAAGTGATATCTCATTGTGGTTTTGATTTGCATTTCCCTGATGATTAGAGATGTTGAGCATTTCTTCATATGTTTGTTGGCCATTCTTCTGTCCATTTTAAAGGAGTTTCTTCTTTCATTTGGGTTTTGTTTGGTCACTGTAAACTTTTGAGTTTTTCCAGAGCTCCTACCTACTTGGCCTTGCCTGTTTTGTCAAGGGTCCCACAGGAGAAGGAGCCTGGAGTTACCTTAATCTGCCCTGCAGGATCTCATTTTTGAGACAAACTTTATTTTAAAAATCTGTGTAGAGGGAAAAGAAAGCAGATTTTCACAATTCACAACTCTCCCCCACAGAAAACTGTTATGTTACCATACTTTCTGAAAATTATTCTTTGAATAACTATTCCAGGAGTAGACTGAAAATATCAAAATGGAACTCAGAGGAAAAAATGAAGAATAAGACATAAAAAAAGGTAACATACACTTTGCCAGGAAAATTCTCATTCAGAAAGATAAGAAATAATATTACATGATATGTATGCATTTATAAACAACACTCGATTTAATGCTTTCATCATATTTTACATATAAGACTTTAAGAGAGATACAGAAATAAGTAATATTAATATTTTCCTTTGTATATGATAATGGTGTTAGATCGGTTTATTTTCCCCCAGTTGGTTTAATTTAAATCCGAAGTAGATGCAAAGCTTGTAAAAGACGAAGTGCCTTTAGTCTGTCACTTGTTTCTGTGTCAGGAACTGCGGTACTCTTTAGCACCTTGTCAGGTTTTAGTAAGTGTAGCTGAGAGAGAGGGAGGTGATAAAGTGCAAGGCCTGTTTGGGAAGGAAGAACCCCACCATTTAATTTAAATATGGTTCAATGGTGATGCTCAGTGTTGGCGTGGGAGAGGTGCCGTCACAGCCTCCCAGATACACTAGCCTGGGAGCATGAAGGCATGTAATATTTCAGTGAAAATGTAATGGCGTATAGAAGCCTTTGATGATGTGTATTTACAGTGGTCTTACTTTTCAGTATTATTTTTTAAAAACGATCTAAGATGCATAGCAATCTAAGATATGTGATACATAATATATAATGCATGCACTTACGCATGGCCAATCTGTATTTATGTGTGTGCATGTGTGTGTATTGTTAGAAGCAACTCAATGATAGCTGATTGTTAAATCGTACTAGATCTATACAGTGAAATACTATTCAACAACTAAAATGATGACATAGATTTATATTTGACATAGGAATCCACTAGCATAAAAGTCAGTGGAAAAGCAGCCTTCACAGAAGCACAAATCATGTGATTACATTTTTGTGGGAGCAATGACTGTTGGTTTGAGCTAGTCCATGAATCAGGAATACTGGGGGAAAAAATAAACCTAAACTATGGAAGCAAAATTTTTATCTTGCTGTGGGTGGTCATTTTTGACTTAACTAGACACATCATATTGAAGTTCTATTGAAAATAAATCATTTGTGCATCGTTTGCTATGTGGTGCATGCTTCATTCAGACAATGATGTGGCATTTCAAAGAGTGGATTCTTTCCTTACAGACTTGATTTTCCTAGTGACCAAAGTATTAGTGACTAATCCACACACTTGGGCATTTAGGCCACTGAACCGAGTGTATAATACACATGTGTCCAGAGAAATGGTGGTAAAATGTCTACATTCTTAAACTCATACAAGGAAATTAGTTCTAGAGTAAACCTGAAGAACTTCTAGCCCCTACAGAAAGTGGCATACTGTATCTGTTATGTGAGAGTGGTATTTGTGCCAATTAAATCAACTTTTTTCTGTATTTCTACTGGATTTTTTAATGATTTATTTCCTTGGGCTGGATGACTGCTAGAGAATCCTTTCATATTAATTTCAGAAAAACGTATGAAGCACAAAGTTTCTTCTATCTTGTCACCCCTCTTCCAACCCAAACACAGGTACATTTAAAATAAAATATTTTAACATTCACTTTTAAAATAAAATATGAAAATAACTCAATCATGTTTTATAATTGAGCTACTTTATACCTGCATAATTATATTATTTTTTGCTGTTGTCATATTAGAGTAAATTTTAAATGAAATTTTAAATAGAATAAAATTTCAATTTTAAATTAAAATAAATTCAAATAGAATAAATTTCTATTTACTTAGAAATATGTAATTTAAAGTGCTGGTTCAAAAATGAATGAAGAACCCTTTTCAAATGGGTGCAGTGTGTTTATTTTCCCTGAAAGATTCGTAAATGTTAAAATCCATTATCTTTTATTGGCAGTGATTGATGATTAATGAATAGGTTGGTCTGATTAAGCATTTGACACAAACCTTGGCATACGTGTGAATTTCTGTCTAAATTGAACACATTTTGTGGTGGTAACATGGCAGATCTGTTATTACATTAAGCAAACATAGTTTTTTAAGAAACTGCTACCTTATTTTGACTACCTGCAAATCATATTTTGAATAACCCCTGAGGTACGAGTAATTCTGGAAGCAACCTACAGATTTAGGGCATACCACTCTCAAAAACTAAAAGGCACTGTATGGGGGAAGGGCACACTTGTAACCCTGGCTTAGGTGAGGTAAAGGCATTATATGTAACCAAAATGTTTGTACCCCCATAATATTCTGAAATAATAATAATAATAAACTAAAAGGCTTAATTGCCACTATTCAAAATGACTGCCATCCACTTTTCCTAATTTATGAACATACTTCATTTTACATTTCTCATTTGAAAATGGATATTTAAAAATCACAATAAGAACATTACCTCTCTCTCTCTCTCTCTCTTTTTTTTTAGTTTCAGTAAACTGCATAAAATTAGATAGGGTTTGTAGGAAATATATTTCTGATCTGCAAGCTTTCTACCTTAGTACTACAAATGAAATTTCAAGTAATTATCTTGTTGAAATTGGGAAAGGATTTTGATCCATTTACAAAAGAATATGCTTTTCCCACAGAGAAGGAGACAGAGGCAGAGAGAGAGAGACACCTGATTTTCTGCCCCGGCCATGGGATGTGAAATGTCTGCTCATGTGCTATGGCAGAAAACCCCTGGGTCACTGTCCAGCTCAACCCCCTTCTCTGAGAAACACCATCTCAGCTCCAAGGTAAGACACTGCTTTATGTCTCTGTTACATGAGCCTGACCACAGTGGATTATTTCATCCTGATGCTACCTGACAAACACCTACAAACATCTTTTGGGTAAAGAATGTATGAAGTCACTTTAACGATGGAGGCCTAGGATAAAGGTCTATGGATTTCTGCTGCCAAATCCTTTGCAGAGGCCCTAGTGCCTGTTCTTCCTAAGGGTTAGCTGTTTCTCTTTGATTTTTGAGATACCTGAATATCTTCAAAAATGTCCTCAGTTTCCACAAAATAGTGATTTTCTCTTCCTTGTAAACTATAGATTTTTAAGAAAAGAGTATTCAATTGTCAGCTCTGACAGCTGTTTTGATGTAGCAGCTCTAGGCAATCAAACATTATTCCACTTACTACTTGAAGGAAGATATAACATGAGAAAAGAAGACAGTAGAGTTTGAAATCAACATTATTTCTTAGCACTTCTCAGAAGCACATTATCTTATGGTACACATTTCAAATCTCATAATAAATAAGAGACACCGATTAGTGGGGAAAATGCTAAAAGCAATTTTAGAGCAAAGTTACAAATTATTTATCCCCTAAATTTCTCTCCAGCATTGTGAACTATTTTGTTGAAATCGATAAAATCAATCATTTATTTATTGTTTATTTATTTAAACTCTATCACATTATTGTAAACTTGAGGTTGTCTTTTGACTTGATTTTGAATCCAAGAAGTAGTGAAAGATGTTTGGTCTACCTAGAGCAGGAGCAATCTAATGAATGCTTTGGAAGTAAGTCTTGCTTCATGTAGTGGAAGAAGATATAGAAATCAGCATGTCAGTAAGTGAAGTATCACAAGAAAGGAAAACCAGCACCACATGTACTCACCATCAAATTGGTATTAATTGGTTAACACTTACGTGCACATACAGTAGGAACATTCACCGGGTGTCGGGCAGGTAGGGGCGGGGAGCAGGGGATGGTACAGTCACACCTAAAGGGTGCAGTGTGCACCGTCTGGGGGATGGACACGCTTGAAGCTCTGACTTGGGTGAGGCAAAGGCAACATATGCAACCTAAACATTTGTACCCCCGTAGTATGATGGAAAAAAATTCAAAAAAAGAAATCAACATGTCAGATGTCCTACACTTGTGTTTATTTGCATCTTTAACAGATGGAAATTTATTAGAAGACAGAGTCACGATAAGTGGTGGGAGGGGTGAATTCAAAAAGCCAAGGCACCAGAAGCCATTCCGATGCCCTCTGGTTGCCTGACTAGTGGACACGCCAGTGTCCCGGTGCTCTCATAGAACATGGTCAGGCACCGTTTGCCTAAAGTAAGGTGGAGAATACGTCCTCCTGCAGAAGTGCTCTGTGAGGATTGTCTCATGATGCTTTGTCCAGCGTTTCTCCCAATTTTCAATGCACAACCACACTGAAATAAATAAAAGAAACACCATCTGTATGATGTCAACTCTGGACAGTGCAGCAGCGACATAGTAAGACGACATTGTTAAAGCTCAAAAATATCTACTAAATAATGACCTAGGACAATGTCTAAAGTGTCTTATCTTCCTTTAAAATAGGAGAGCAGGGCAAGATGCTTCTTACCCTTGAAATTTCTTGGATAATTAATATAGTAGATCCTGGACAAAAGAAAAACAAAACAAAGAAAAAAACCTGAGGAGTCAAATATTAATCAACTAATAGTCATGTTGAGGTCTATTACTACTGTGGTTAACCGACAATAATTCAAAAATACACCTGAAAGATACCTGTAGACTCACTGAATATAGCGGGAAAACCATACCTTGGGCACATTGTCTCATAAACGAATGTTTTCATTTGACTAAATATGAAATGTATGTTGCGTTTATCTTAGGATGAACCCTTTGTGTTTTGAGGTGATAACTACACAGCCGTAGCGAGGTTGTCATAGCAGCACAGCAGCACTGGCTGGCACTGCATTATAGACCAAACTGGAAAGAGAGATGCTGAAAGCTCGAACTCGTCAGTAGAACTCACCTCCAATAACAGACCACCCAAAACCTAGTGTCCAACGGAGCGTTGTTAGCCCTGGCTTATTTTTGGGGAGAAGAGTGTGAATGGAAAATAGGATTTTAAACATAATAGGGCAGTTAGTTGCTATACAGGAAAGCTGTGAGCAGGCACACACTGCATGCCACATCCCAGAAAAGACTGGCACGCGCTCTGTACAAGGTCACCGGTAACTCCCCTGAGCCACAGACGACGCCATTGTGCCCTGAAGTATTTAGTTTTTTAAATTTCAGCTTTAAGGAAAAAAAAAAAAAAACAACAAATGAAAATGTCTGCTTCCTGGTGGAGGCAGATCTCAGAAAGCCGTTTGGAGGAGACAGGTGACAATGCATCACCAACGTGTCAGTGTAAACAAAAGGTGCTCATTGAAAGGCTTGAGAAAAAGTCAATGCCAGGTAAGGAACAAGGGAAGGATACATTTTTATATTGAATCATTGTTATGGGATTAGGATAATTGCATGAGAGGGAAATACAAGCCCAGATATATGGGAGACATTCACCTTTAAAAGGGGTTTAAAGCACTAGAATGAGGCAGCGAATAGAGCTGTATTGATTGATCCTCTCCTAATTAAACAGAGCCTGAAAAGCAGGCTGTAATTGCCAAGATGCTCTTCAGAGTGTTTACTTTTCGTGAGTAACTAAAAAGGGAGACATAAACATGGTAATTAAAGGGTTATATTTTGTCCTTCATATGCAAGGATGTTATTACTCAAGAACAATCTGATTTGTATGTGGATCAGAGTAAAATATTGAAATTTTCGATGTTCTGCCGCACTAAATGGGATCGTTAGTGCAGGTAATTGACCAATGCATATAATTAACACAACAGGGGCCCGTGTTCGATGGACTCAATGCCTCTGCCATGGCCCACGTGCTAGAGTTCACCTTCATTCTTTGGGATTTACACTATGCAGCTTCACGACCCATTCAAATGTTGATAGTTAGGTGCACTCCTGGATACTAGGATAATAACCACAACTTTAGTTGCTTCCGCTGAGATCAACTTGTCTCCTTCATGATATTTATGGTTGGTCTTTGCTATAGTCTGAATGTCGGTGTCCTCCCCAAATTCATATGTTGGAATCTAATACCCAATGTGATAGTAGTAAGAGGTGGAGCTTTGAGAAATGGTTAGGGAGGGAGAAAGAGAGAATAAAACATTGTGATAAATAGAAAAATATATCCCATTTTACCAACAAGGAATCAATTTGCTAACACCGATTCATGCCACAGCTGATATTCAAAAACTCTCTAGTGCACAGCACCCAGCTGTGTCTAAACTTCTTTGCGGTTTCTGTTCAACTGGGCTGTTTAATGGTGACCTTTGCTCTGACTTGTCCCCCTCCTACACTTGATGACAGTGGTTTCACTTTATGAGTTTTTAGAGCCCGGTAGAATTATTTTTGATTAGCCTGAGTATTGTAGATTTGGGTTAAACTTAACATTTGTTTGTCTTGACTTGACTAAGCCAGAAATAAGACTGGCATGAATGAGCCATGCCCAAGCCTGGTGGATGGTACGCCTGACACCAAGAGGGTGCTGCCTGGAAAGGTGCCGATCACCTCTAGAGCAGCGCAGCGCGTAAGGAAGCATGGAAGTAAGACCTGGTCATGACAATTCCATATGATCTTAATGTCGTTAAATGCACAGAGAGGTTGGATCAAGGTTATAACCCACAACCTGTAAATGAAGTAAAGAGAAACTGATGTGAATAAGATTTTTTTTTGACATCATATAAAAGAAGAGGCCGGGCACGGTGGCTCTTGCCTGTAATCCTAGCAGTCTGGGAGGCCAAGGCGGGCGGATTTCTCAAGGTCAGGAGTTCAAAACGAGCCTGAGCAAGAGCGAGACCCCGTCTCTACTATAAATAGAAAGAAATTAATTGGCCAACTGATATATATAGAAAAAATTAGCCGGGCACGGTGGCTCATGCCTGTAGTCCCAGCTACTCGGGAGGCTGAGGCAAGAGGATCGCTTGAGCCCAGGAGTTTGAGGTTGCTGTGAGCTAGGCTGACACCATGGCCCTCACTCTAGCCTGGACAACAAAGCAAGACTCTGTCTCAAAAAAAAAAAAAGAAGAAGAAGAGAACTGACTCTAAAGATCAATCTTTTAAAGGGCTACTGACTGCACCTTGAATAAAATGCATTTTTAGAGACACTTCATCTTCCAAAGTAAGTTCGTGAAGTAAGGGCTTCAACATTTTAGCCTGAATGCATCGCATTTTCTGAACCACACCATCCATCCGAAGATCATCAAAGCCTGACGTAATAGGCACTGGCCCATGGCAAAATCATTTCACAGCAATATGCAGAGCAGAGTGGCACCATAGTGTGGTCACAGCGTTGGATTTTTACGTAGGTGAAAATTCTCGGTGAGACCATTGAGCTTTATTGCCTTACCTTATATTATTTGATCTGTAAGCAAACCCCATCCTCAGTGGTCATTACTTCTAAACACACACACACACACACACACACACACACACACACACACACACACACACAGAAACTCACTTTTAAATATTCAAATGAAAATTTTACCAGAAAACATTTTTGTCCCAAATTATGATAGGCTAGGCTGTCCCTATAGAGTACCTTGTGAGTAACCAATGTAGAAAAAAAAATTGAATAAGCTTTAAATCTCAAGTTTTAGAATGTCATGTCAGAAATCTTATAATTATTATACCTGAGAACCCAGCAATATTTTATTTTAATCAAACATGTAGGCAGTGACTCAGCATTCTACTTTTGTTACTAGGAAACAAAACAAAAGGTCATTTTATTTAAGCATAATATTTTAAACTTTTCAAATTTTTGTTTTAGAGTGAAAATAATGCAAACTTGACACAAAAAGAAAAGAGGAAGAGAAAGAAAGGAACTAAATGGCATCATAGAAATAATAGATCACGAGTTACAGATTCCTTTGTTCCTTCTCCACTCCCACTGCTTCACTTGACCAGAG